TCTACTAAAAAAATAGAAAGAAATTAATTGGCCAACTAAAAATATATAGAAAAAAATTAGCCGGGCATGGTGGCAGCTACTCGGGAGGCTGAGGCAGGAGGATTGCTTAAGCCCAGGAGTTTGAGGTTGCTGTGAGCTAGGCTGACACCACAGCCCTCTAGCCTGGGCAACAGAGTGAGATTCTGTCTCAAAAAAAAAAAAAAAAAGAAAACAGAAAGAAAGTTCCACATAGGAGGGTCCCCATATGGCAAATACAGAATGCCCAACTGACCTTTTCCCACATGCTTTGCCCATGGTGCTTCTGTTCACAGGACATGCGATCTGAAGTGTGACACAGGCTGCTTGGCATCAGGTGAGGTTTTTAACTACGATTAAGGTTTTCTCCTCTTTTGCTATGACAAGGGATCCAGTGGGCATCTGTGGAGTATGTATCTTGCTCTGCAAACCTGTCCTGCTCTTGCTCTGTAATCTTACCTTGCTCCCCGTCAGTAAATTTCACTTCGTGCTTGCCTTAAAAAAATTTGCTTTTTCTCTTTCCTTCAGATACAGTTGAATTTCTTCTTCAGGCTTTGACAATATTAAGTACTGTGTTCTGGACATACAAATTTAATTTTGTGTGATATGATTGCTTTGGCGTCTGGGTGGGGCTTGTTTTCTAAATTTTGTGGTTGGGGGCTGGTGTTGTGATATTCTTGTGCTTCATTAACTCTTTTTTTTTTTTTAGACAGAGTCTGGCTTTGTTGCCCAGGCTAGAGTGAGTGCCATGGCCAGCCCAGCTCACACAACCTCAATCTCCTGGCCCAGCAATCCCCTGCCTCCAGCTCTTGAGCAGGCTGGATTACAGCATGCGCCACCAGCCCGCCTAATTTTCTATATATTATGGCCAATTATTCTTTCTATTTATTGGAAGACGGTCTCACTCTTGCTCAGGCGGGTTTTGAACTCCTGAGCTCAAGCAATCCGCCCGCCTCACATCCAGAGTCTAGGATTACAGGCATGAGGCACCACGCCCGGCCTTATTCATTAACTCTTGGGACTTTTAAAAACAGAAGTTCTTGGAAGGTGGCCTTGGAACTCACCCTGTCTCTGGAGTCTTAGAGGAACTGACCCAGTCCAGCCCAGTCTGCAGCTGCTGAAAGAACCACACCTCTGGGCCGGTGTGGTGGCTCATAACTGTAATCCTAGCACCTGGAGGCCGAGGCAGGCGATGCTCGAGTTGGAGTTCGAAACCAGCTGAGCAAGACCCCATCTCTACAAAAATAGAAAGAAATTAATTGACCAACTAAAATAGATAAAAAAAAAAAAAATTACCGGGCATGGTGGCGCATGCCTGTATCTAACACTTGGAGGAGGCAGTAGGATTGCTTGAGCCCAGTAGTTTGACTTTGCTGTGAGCTAAGCTGACGCCATGGCACTCACTCTAGCCTGGACAACAAAGTGAGACTCTGTCTCAAAAAAAAAAGAATCACACCTCTGCCAGGGGATTGGAGACCCTCTAGCTGAGATTAAATACAAATACAAATTGGGATTCATGGTCTTGTGACTTTAAAGTAGGAATTTTGGACTTCAGTTACTTTTGACTCTAAAGTCTTAGTTTTAGTTTGCAATGGGATTTGAACTTTAATTTTGGAGTTTGATAATGGGAGGGTTTTCTGTTATTGTTCAAATTAGAGACACCTCTTTATTGTTGGCATTTCATTGTTGGAGCTTCTTTGTTGTTGTTGTTGTTTTCTTTTTGGGACAGAGTTTCCCTCTGTTGCCCAGATTAGGGTACAGTGACGTCATTATAGCTCACTGCAACCTCAAACTCCTGGGCTCAAGCGATCCTCCTGCTTCAGCTTCTCGAGTAGCTGAGACTATAGCTGTATACCACCATGCCCGGCTAATTGTTTTATTTTAATTAATTAATTTTTGAGACAGAGTCTTACTGTGTTGCCCTGGGTAGAGTATAGTGGCATCATTGTGGCTCACTGCAACCTCAAACTTCTGGGCTCAAGTGTTCTTTTCTTGCCTCAGCCTCCTGAGTAGCTGGGACTACAGGTGCACCACAACACCTGGCTAATTTTTCCTATTTTTAGTAGAGACAGGGGTCAGGGGGTCTCACTTTTGCTCAGGCTGATCTCGAACTCCTGAGCTCAAGTGATCCTCCCGCCTCGGCCTCCCAGAGTGCTACGGTTACAGGCGTGAGCCACCGCACCTGCGCCTGGCCTGGGAGCTTCCTAATACTATTTTTAAATCTCATTTCAGATGTCTGATAGCTATCTTAGATAGCATGGCTGGATGAAATTTGAGATGGGAAATGGAACAGGAAGTGAATTTCCTTGGATAAAGAATATATTTAGTGTTACTATATTTTTTGGAATCACTTAGGAGCTTCTGGGGCTGGCAGTGTGGAGGACACAGAAGAGGAGCACGGGTGGCGTTGGTGCGTGGCTGTATGAGTGCGAGAACAGGGCTGCCCCGATTAGCTTCCTGATCACCTCCCGCAGGCGGACGGCTATGCCCTGGGTGATCATGTCATCTTAATTGTCACAACTATCAGGTTCAAGAAGAAAAACCTTGGGGATGTTAGTGGGGACATGTTCCTGTTGGCACTGACAGATCTTTCCTGAAGGGGAGAGACAGCTCCCCGGCATGACTCTCCCTGCCACTCTCCCTCCCTCACCTTGCCCCGGGAAGGTGGAGTAACTTCTCCAACTGCAAAGGTGGGGAGAGTAACCGGCTTAGCCCTGCTCCCTCCTGGGGGAAAGCTGTCTGCAGGGAGGTGTGTTCTCTACGTGGGGAGGCCTCGCCTGGCCCAGCCTTGCCTGGGTCTGGAAGGGTAGTTCTGTCTAATTCTAGGGTTCCATAGCCCCCATTTGGCTTCCGCACTAAGCTACTTCCTCTATCTTGGCCTTTATTGCTATTGAAGATAATATTTTGACCTCATTTGCTGCTTTTGTTTTATTTCTCCATTTCTCTAGAACTTGAAAGGGGAAGAGGGATGCTATTTATTTAGGCCCCTCAGAGTCCCTAACATTGTGAATATGATAGTTACTCTGGTAACGCTAGTGATTATTTTCTAAATGTCCTATTCATGTTTATATACACCTGTGTGCTGATTAATATTAACATGTAAGGTTTTAATTTCTGGTTTGTGTATCAGCATTATCAAATCAGCTGGGGTTCAGGTGACCCTCAGGGTGATAATAAGCACCTCATTTTAATGAATCTCCATAATACTGGGCAGATTATGTAACATGCCCCCTGCTCTTTCTAGGCCGTCATTGCAAGAGGTTTTGGCCTTAGTTCTTGCTGAACTGGGGAAGGAGAAAGGGGCCAGAGATACCATTACTTAATTGATTTGTTGTCTTTTTGAGATTTAGAGAGAGAAAGAGTATGTTTCCTTTTGAGGGCAAAATTGTAGATGGGAAGACAAAGCACAGGAGAGGATAGGAGAGTCTCATTCTACCGGCAAGATCAGGCAGTGTTGAACTCAGAAGGAAAAGGAGAAAGAGCCCTGGACAATTTGATAGCATGCCCTTTTTTTCCTTGCTATGTACTGAAGCATGCTCTTGATGAGGATGCTGCTGCTGCTGCTGCTGCTGGCGTTTGGAGATAATGTTGTTTGCTATTTATTAAAGGCTGACTACTGAGTATCAGATAAATGCTAATGCTTAGCCTGCAGTATTTTGTTTAACCTTGGCTGCAATAGGCTCCAACAGTAATAGCTGTGTCTGATAGTAGGTGATATTATCCCCATTTTACACACGATGAAGCTGAAGCTCAGAGAGGCAAAGCAACTTTTTCAAGGTGGTACAGCTAAAAGCGTCTAGTGAATGGTTAGAATTCACTTTGGCTCGTTCATTCAATCAGCCATTTCTCAGGTACTCACTGAGCATGTTGTGTCAGCCGTGGTTCTTAGTGCAGGCAACAGAAACCAAGTCTGGATGATTTTGGCAGAAGAGGAATTTAGTAAAGTGATTCTGGATTGCTCACAGACATGCCAGGAGAGCCGTGTGTGGAAGCTTCCCAGCAGGGACAATGGCAGAACCTGGCTGCCTCTGTTGCCACTGCCTTGGGCCTGTCCCTGACTCTTCGGTTTGCAATGCTCACCCACTGGGGCTGGAATCTGGGCGCTGCTGTGAACATCACCTCCTCCTCCATCTTGTTGCAGCTGCCACTGTCCCCAGAGGCTCTGTGGTCCCTGCTTCTTGGCATCTCTGCCTCTGGATTCAAAGCCTGGGCCTGGGATGAATGGCGCATGCGTGCATGGGCCTGCTCCAGAGCTGTGGGGGCGGGGCGGGGAACGCTTCCTGCACCCTCATCTTCTCTCATGGGAGGTCGGCTCCGCTCCCAAGAGTCATATGACGAGGAACTCCCCAAATGTGGCAGAGGTTCAGTAGGCAGCCGAAGGAACAACACACGGTTGCATGTATGTCTGCTGTGTGTGTGACACTGCTAGACATGGTGTGCAGCAGAGATGGATCAGACCCAGAGCCTGCCATCAGAGACCTTGCCGCTCACGATGATCTTCCTTTATTTATTTATTTTTAGTTTTTATTTTTGAGACAGAGTCTCACTTTGTTGCCCAGGCTAGATCGAGTACCGTGGTGTCAGCCTGGCTCACAGCAACCTCAATCTCCTGGGCTCAAGTGATCCTCCTGCCTCAGCCTCCCGAGTAGCTGGAACTACAGGCATGCGCCACCATGCCCAGCTAATTTTTTATATATATATTAGTTGGCCAATTAGTTTCTTTCTATTTATAGTAGAGACGGGTCTCGCTCTTGCTCAGATTGGTCTCGAACCCCTGACCTTGAGCCAATCCACCCGCCTTGGCCTCCCAGAGTGCTAGGATTACAGGCGTGAGCCACTGCACCCTGCTGATGATCTTCCTTTAACATGCACATTTATTGGGCATCATAGTGTGCAAAGTTTGTTCACTCTGATTGTTTTATTAGGTTCCCCGACAGCCATGTAGGGTAGGCAGAACTGATGTGATCTCTGTTTTATCTTTGAAGACCCGGGGAAGTTGGGTGATGGGCCTAAGGCCTCAACCCTGGTGAGCAGCAGGGCGAGCCTGGAGCCTGTCTTCTGACTCCCAGGCGGGTGCTGAGCCAACCAGAGGTAAGACTTGCACACAGATACCATGCTTCCCTGCTTCTAAGGCACACAGTTTCCCCCCATGTTTTCTCTCTCCTGAGATCAGGATGCATCTTATCATCACTGGCATATCATTGTTTAATTGCAGCTTTTTTGTTCCTGGTGGGATATAAAATAATGAAGCATCTTCAGTTGATGAAGTCTTAGATTCATCGGAATGCAGTCGCTAAGATGGGAACGTAAAGGAGGCCTGCGAGATGGGGAGGCTTTATGGAGGGAATGCGCAGGCCCACAGGCCCTTATCAGCACTTCTGAACTCCAAAGGACTCTGAAAAAAAGTAGAGTTTTTTTTTCCTTTTCCAAATTTGGTACCAAAACTCATTTGGCAACAAAACGTGACCTGAACTGATGTCAAGTAATTTATAATCTTTAGTTATTCCACTTACCGTGAAGACTGATATGTTTAGCTCCAGACATATTAATGTTTGACAGTGGAGTGTGATTCCAGTCCCTGGGGGCAGGTGGAGCAGCAGATGTTACCTAATTTTGGGTCTGTGTACTGTATTGCCTTTTAAAAATCTATAAAATTCTGTATTTCAAAACACATCTGGACCCAAGGGCTATAGACATGGGGTTGTATCTGAAGTGGGGCTTGATTGGTGGGTAGAATTTATTTATTTTTAATTTTCATTTTTTTAGAGACAGGGTCTTGTTTTGTCACACCAGCAGGGGTGCAGTGGTTTAATCACAGCTCACAGCAACCTTGAATTCTTGGGCTCAAGTGATATTCCTGCCTCAGCCTCCCAAGTAGCTGGGACTACAGGCGTGAACCACCAGGTCTGGTTAATTTATTGTTTTTTGCAGAGATGGGGTCTCACTATGTTGTCCATACTGGTTTCTAACTCCTGGCCTCTAGTGATCCTCCCACCTTGGCCTTCCAAAGTGCTAGGATGACAGGTGTGAGCCACTGCACCTGGCCCAGTGAGTGGAGTTTAGATGTTCGGAGATGTGGAAGGGATTTTAGGAAGAGGAAAGAGCATCACCTCATGCCAGCTTGGGTCTATATGTAAGTCATTATCCAACCATTAAATACGCCTCAAAGCAGAGATGACTTGCATTTCTGATACTTACACTCCCTTAATTCATGATTCGTACGCAACTGGAGGATTGGACCTTCTGGGTTTGGCTTTCCCCTTCAGTATCAATCCCCTCCTTTTCCCACAAATCACCTGACTTCCCCGAAAACTCTGACACACACCCTTTGGCTGAAAAAGAGCATTAGGCAATCGGTGAAACTCCCCGTTTCTCCTTTCTCCTCTGGAGCCCTGGCTAGAGGAATGTCATGCCAGGCGAGGAGGACGCTGTTCTTGTTTCAAAAGCAGAGGGAGCTCCAAGATCAAGGCTGAGCTCCCCTTGCCCCATGTCAGAGTCTCCCAGCCCCCTCTGTTTAGATCAGAGAATTTCGGACATGCACACTCGGGTAGGCAATCGCATGAACAGAACCGGGACGGGGAGGCCAGCGGGAGGATCCTGCAGAGGGAGCATCCAGGCCCCGTGCTGCCGTCGCTGGGAGCCGGTGGGGTCACCCAGCATGCCCACTGGCAGGAGCGAGAGGACTGGCCCGCTTGCTCCCATCAGCTTCTGAAGGTAAAACCTTAAAAACAAAGAGCAGAGCTTTGATGGAGGAGAAGAGAAAGGCAGAAAACCTCACGCAGGAGGGTCTGGGCAAAGCTGGAGCTCTGCAAAGGGCAGAATCAAAAACGGCTGAATATAGACAACCTCTTTCTCTTAGGCTCGCCTGTCCATCCCCATTCACTCTCCTACCAACCACTGTTTCCAGAGTTAAAAACAATTTTGGCAAGGTTTTTCTAGGAACTGTAGGAAGATAGCTTGTCTATTTAGGGGAAAAAAGCTAAGGAAACCCTGGAAAACTCATGCGGAACCTGCCCTTTTCCACCTCTCCTTTCCTGTCATGCTCCTTGTCACTCGGCTGCCCCTTTTCTGCTTCTCCACGCAAGACTGCCTCAATGGGGCAGCACCCCCCTTCTCCGGCCACTTGTCCCAAGGTCCCTGCCTTCCCCTAGGGACAGAAGCTCAGGCCTCCATCAGTGGTCGCTGGGAGCATCAGCAGAGATACATGCAGTAAAAACACAGTGAAGGGAGCAGGTTCGAAGCCATAAGGGGTCACTGTGGAAGGGGAGGGAGGACTGTCCCAGATGGACGGTCATGATGTGCAGAGACCCCTGAAAACCCGGGTGGAAATGGGGACCTTGTTCTGTGAGGGCAGGAGAGAGGTGGATAGAATGGTGGTGAGGGTGGAGAAGGAGAGCAGAGGAGAACCGGGACAAGGTCCAGAGAAGCAAGTTCTAGTTTAGCTTAGTTCTAGTCTCGAAAATTAGTTGCAGTCAGACCACGGAGGGTGTGAGGGGCCTGGTGCCCTGTGGTGATGACTAGTGACACAGCTCTGCTTAACCTCTGTGTTATTCTCATGAAGGTGACACTGAACTGCAGGTGACCCCTCGCCACCAAAGCAGGTGCCTGTGTTTGTCAGATAAGTACATCCAGGTCTGCCATCCCTTCAGCTCCAAAGTCCAGAGGTGCAGAGAGCTGGCACCAAGAGGCGGGCAGCTCACCAGGATGGACACATCGCCAGAGATGTGGTAAGTGGTTGAGGTCTCCGAAGATTTACATGGAATCCATTCCCTTCATCTTCTCAAGACAAGGGCTCCGGGTTGGGCACAGTGGCTCATGCCTGTAATCCTAGCACTCTGGGAGGCCAAGGCGGGAGGATCATTTGAGCTCAGGAGTTCGAGGCCAGCCTGAGTAAGAGGGAGACCCCATCTCTACTATAAATAGAAAGAAGTTAGCTGGACAACTAAAAATATATAGAAAAAATCAGCTGGGCATGGTGGCACATGCCTGTAGTCCCAGCTACTGGGGAGGCTGAGGCAGCAGGATTGCTTGAGCCCAGGAGTTTGAGGTTGCTGTGAGCTAGGCTGAAGCCATGGAACTCTAGCCCGGGCAACAGAGTGAGACTCTGTCTCAAAAAAAGAAAAAAAAAAAAAAAAAAAAAAAAAAAAAAAAAGGGTTCCTATCTGAGCCTGGCTTTTGGTTTGATCTAAGCCTTTTCATTATTCCAACCTGAGATTCTCCTCCATGGCCTGTTGACCACGCTGCTCCTTTCCCCTTCCTTCTGCCTGTGACGACGGCGAGAGCTCCAGCCTGGGCTGCTGGTACCTGGGTCACCCACCTCTCTCTGTCTTTTTCTCAGGTGCGTTGTCCTGTTTTCCCTTTTGGCATCAGTTTGTGCCAAGCCTACCATGTACGGGGAGATCCTGTCCCCTAACTATCCTCAGGCATACCCCAACGAGGTAGAGAAGTCTTGGAATATAGAAGTTCCCGAAGGGTACGGGATTCACCTCTACTTCACCCATGTGGACATGGAGCTGTCCGAGAACTGCGCATATGACTCGGTGCAGGTATCTACGAGCACGTGAGCACAGAGGGGGGAGACGGGGCTGGGTGGTGGAATAAGGACGTAGGAGGGAGTGGCACAGGCATACAGTCAACTGGTGTCAGGCAGTCCTAAGGGGGTAGACGTCCTACTCCCTCTGTCCCCTTTTCTCTCACCTCCGTACCAAAATTTTACCCCTTCCTAGCTTCATTTTGACTCTTCTCTTAGATAATTTCAGGAGGCATTGAAGAAGGGAGACTCTGTGGACGGAGGACCAGCAAGAATCCCAACTCCCCAATTGTGGAAGAGTTCCAAGTCCCGTACAACAAACTGCAGGTGATCTTTAAGTCAGACTTCTCCAATGAAGAGCGTTTTACTGGGTTTGCTGCGTACTACACTGCCATAGGTAAGGCTCACCCTCCTGCATTTGCCTTACTGACTTAGCTCAAAGACTAGGAGTGGGAAGAACACTGAGCAACACACTGAATGAGTTCATAATTCTTACAAAGTGTTGACTTGCCTTGGGTCCCCTTGTGGAATTCAAACACATGATCATATCTTAGTGGTGATGACGATACTCATGGCAGCAATAGATAATAAACAGTAGGCTATTGAGAACCACTATGAACTGGGTACTATATTGGGGATTTTGCCTATTTTAACATAATCTTCACCTCAACTCTTCTAATTATTCCTCCCCGCGGAAGGCACCGCCATGACGCTGAGTGTGCAGAGTGTTGTCTCGGGGGCTGAAACGCTCGCAATGTGAGCACAGTCAAGGGTCTCAGGCGTCAAGCGCTCCCGTATGGCTGTGCAATGGTAGGGCTCCACTCTGGCACCGTATTTCAGGAGAGGAGTGTGGTGTACACTACCGTCCTGAAGTGTGGTCCCTTGGGAGTCTTCAAGCAATGGGCTTTCGTACTTTTTCTTCCCCTTGCAGTTTTGGGTTTAACCTCGTTCTCCCTTCTCAGTGTTTGTTCTTGATCTCAGTCTCTCCCTCCTCTTTGTAGATGTAAACGAGTGCACAGATTTTGCCGACACCCCTTGTAGCCACTTCTGTAACAACTTCATCGGTGGCTACTTCTGCTCCTGCCCGCCGGACTACTTCCTCCATGCCGACATGAGGAATTGCGGAGGTGAGCCTGGCGTGGAGAGCTGTGAGCTCCCTGCGATTGGGAATGGCCTGAGGCCACAGGAGGAGCTTTGTCCACCCTTCAAGTTTTGATTAGGCCCAGCAGTCTTTTGGCGTCTACTCTTAGTGACTCCTAAGCTGCGGGGGGCAACAGAGGGGAGGAAGAGAAGGCCACAGGGTATTAGTTCACTGAGAAGAGAGAGAGACCTGCGAAGAGTCTGCTGGGCCCGTTCATAACCAGAGGGCTCCGTCACAAGCACGGAGGGGAAGCCTGGTGGCGCGGCCATTCCTCCCGGTGGGTGTGGGTGTGTGACCGCCCCGCGGGCTCTGGTCGGCGTGCGGGGCCCAGGCTAGTCGGGATGGAGGACTGTCCGTGCGTGGGAAGAGGAATGCTGGAACAGGGCAGGAGCGCCCCTGCCTCACTCTGCATTTCATTCTTCTCTCTCTTTTTCTCCCTCAGTCAATTGTAGTGGGGACGTATTCACTGCACTGATTGGGGAGATCGCGAGTCCCAATTATCCCAACCAGTACCCAGAGAACTCGCGGTGTGAATACCAGGTCATGCTGGAGGAGGGCTTCCAAATAGTGGTGACTGTGCAGAAAGACTTTGACGTGGAACCGGCCGATTCACACGGAAACTGCCGTGACAGTTTAGTTGTGCGTGATGGTTGGTTGATTCCCCCCCCCAGCTCACACTGAGACAGTTCTTCTTGAAGACAAAATTTTCTTTTCTCTTGCCCCCTATTTTCCTTTTTCCCCCTTCCTCTTAGTTTACATTACATTCTTAATACCTCCCTTCTTTTTAACCCCCTCCCATTTCACCTCTTTTTTTGTTTGTTTTGAGATTTTTAAAAATTTCGGCATATTATGGGGGTATAGATTTTAAGGTTTCAATAAATGCCCTTTCCCCCCTCCCCCCACAAGTCTGAGTCTCCAGCATGACCATCCCCCAGATGGTGCACATCTCCCTCATTATGTATGTATATACCCGCCCCCTCCCACCTGCCCAATACCCTATTACTGTAGTACCTATGTGTCCACTTAGGTGCTGCTCAGTTAGTACCAATTTTCTGGTGAGTATATGTGGTGCTTGTTTTACCATTCTTGGGAAACTTCACTTAATAGTATGGGTTCCAACTCTAACCAGGAAAATATAAGATGTGCTATATCACCGTTGTTTCTTAGAGCTGAATAGTACTCCATGGATACATATACCACATTTTATTAATCCATTCT